TCCCTACTCCCACCCTTATAAGGTGATCTGCTGGACACTAAGGAGGCAAAGGCTCATGCCAAATTTGATCTGAGAAATACCTAGCTTGGACCGACATCACCTCTAGGAGAAAGTTGCTCTGACTTTCTCAATTACTTCAGAGAGTGAAGGATGGAAGACAGTGTTCCAGAGCCAGGAAAATGAGGTTAAGTCTTCCTCATAACTTCCCAGGATACTCTTCCCACTACTGCCTTTTTTTCCTCCTTCCTGCATAGCATGCTGACCCTCTCCACCCACATTTCTCTGACTTTCTCATTAGTAATAACCAAAAAAGAATGTCTAATATTCAGCAACCCATAAGGCAGTAACCATTCCTGAGCAGTTCACAAGCTGCCTCCAGCCGTTCAGCCCTCATACCCTACTGGGTCTTGAAGGGTATATGTTCTTCTAACAGGGACTGAACTCCACAATGGGTGGGTCATTCTTAACTGGCTAGTGGCTGCACTCACATTCCTCTTCTCCACATGACTCTCTTCACTCTTGGAATTTAGTACAACATTCCTCCTCTGAATCCTTTTCCTACATCCTCATGGGAAGTATTCTCTTCCTTCTCTAACTTTTATCTGCAGTTTGTTCTTAGACTTCCACATTCTCCCTTATGGCAAAAGGAATTGTCTTCCCCCTGAACCCCCCCAAAAAAACTCTGTGCTCTATAAAGTCAGGGTCCCACATTGCCCACAAGGCCTACCCAATAGTTGAATGAATTAATGGATGAAGAAATGCTTGGGGGGAACCAGCAGTTAGCGTAATGGCTATGTTGCTGGACTCCCATGTAGTTGACCGCAGTTCGCGTCCTGGACCCGGCGGCTTAAAACTCACGCCGGGCGCGTGTGCATGTGTGCCCAAGATCCCGAGAGGAGAATGGAGGAGAAGGGATTGCGGTGTGACCATCCTCCCTGAGGAGTGATTTCTCGCTTTCTGTCTCTAATGTCTCTCTCTGTCTGTCTGGCTAGTGCATGCTCCCTATAGCAAAAATCTCTCCCCCCCAAAAAAAAATGCTTGGGAAAAAAGTCTGAAGAACTTTCAGTGAACTTCAAGGGTCTTCAGGTATGAGGTTCTCATTCACTGCCTTTCCCCTTATACCACAAAGTTCAAAGGAAAAAACACAGTCACAATGACGGTTTTAGAACCCATTTATATTGTGTATTACTCTGGCCCCCTACCAGCCCTTGAAGTGTATCAGACTGTCTGAACATTCATGGCTTCCTTGGGCCACGTGTAGCTGTCCAGCGTAAAGGAGTCATAGTCTGGAGTGTAGACCAGGGATCTTACAAAAGCCTCCTTGTCCTTGGGCTCTGGGTAGTAGGAGGCCAGGTTGTGTTTGTACGCGTAGTCGAGGACCTAGGGAAAAATATGTTTGGCTGAGAAACTGGATCTAAAGGGAAACTGGACTTACAGGCTTTTGCTTGGGAGCCTGGTGATGGAGAATTCCCCTTGAAGAACTGGCAGTTTCTCTCATGAATAGCCACCCATGAAGTCGTGGGATAGGAAGGATTTTAAACTTTCTATATAAATGATCAGCTGTGACATAGTGGAATAAATATTGGACCAGGGTAAAGAGACCTTATCCTAAAATCTATCTGCTTCAAACTCAGAGGTAACATTATACTCTT